GACGCTACTAGGGGCTCCTGGCCTTACTACTAGGAGCAATGTTCGCTACTAGGGGCTCCTGGCATCGCTACTACTGTACTAGGAACAAGAAGCTACTGGGGCCTACTAGGGAGGTCTCTTTCTGATGTCTTGCAGTCATTCAATGGGGATGTGCTGGGTGGCCCTATTTGGAGCCCCTGGGGAGGAACTAAATCAAGAGTTAGTTAACCCTTGGCAAAGGGGGTCAGTGAACAGAGTCTCTGGGGAGGAATTGCATCAAGAGTTATTACTATGATATGCGCAAAACAGTTGCAAAACAGAATGAGTGATTTCTGAGAACAGTACGTGTGGAGACATTGGTTGAACAAATAGATAACTCTTGATTTAATTCTTTTGAACTCTTCTTTTCACACCTTTTCAGTGGTCATGGTTATCACAAATTTGTTTTCCTTGTTGAATAACCTCTCTTGCTTTGACCGGGAAAACCATCAAAGATACTTCCTCTCTTGGACATGGCGGAGGCACCTTCTGAGAATTTCTGAGATTGAGCGACCAAAACATAGGAACACTGGAGTGGTTCTGCTGCGGGTTTCTCAGTCCTCTGCTTATTGCTTCTTTCATTCGCATCACCTGCTTCATGAACTTGCAGGGGTGGTGTTGGTGCTTGTGTTACTGCTGTGCTGGTGGTTGGGTGGTTGGGTGGTTGGTTGGTTGGTTGGGTGGGTATGATGCCCTTCCATGGCGTTGCATTCCCTCTTTCGTTGCTTTCGTTGTTGGTGTGGGGTGTTTGAGTCATCAAATAGCTGCAAACTTCTCTACCGCCACGCGCTGATCGTAACTTTGCTGCCACATCATTTTGTCGCCACTACCTGGAAAAATCTTCACTTTTTCATGTACTTGCAGGGCTACACGGTGGGGGTTTTGCTAAGTGTGCGGGATACTGTGCGGGATTAGTATGGTTTATGTCCGTGTAACTGTGCTTGCTTGTCGTAATTACCTTTATATCCCTTTCTTGGAAGCAAGAAAAAAACCGCAAACGTTCAAACATTGCACATCACCTCCATCTGGGACATCTCATGAAGACTCCAAGTTAATGTAATGAAAGGCACTTGTCTCACGGCACTAAGCCACGCTGCCAACCTCCAAGCCGAGGGAAGACATGAGATTATGCAGCCGCCCTTTGCCTCAAGCTGACGATAATTAGCAATGGGGCTTCACCAAAATAGATAGAGACCATTCAGTCACAAAAATTTAGCACATCGTGTGCATCTATTAGGTAGGAGGAGCCTAACTCTTCAGAAAAACAGTTTAACACTAACGCCCTGAAGTTGAGTCTCCACCTTCCCTGTGAACCCCAAACAATAGAATTACAACAACAACAACAACAACACCACCGTGATATACGCATTTGAAACCAGTGGTCACCTAGGTTGTGGAGGTTGTCGGGCGAACATGACATGTGTACCCTGTAACAACACTTTGGAATCCCGACTGAGAACCTCTCTACACTCTGAAGGAGCTTGCCAGCTCAAGTGCTTCCACCCCTCAAGCCGCGCTTCGCAGCCGGCTTAAAGAACCATTCACCATTGGAATCACCATTATCCGCCGTCTACGTTTGTGGACACACCTACGTAGCACCTCACAGTATGAGGGCAAACCTGTCTAAATGGACCCGGCCTTTGATAAAAAAAACCTTTGTGCGGTGCAGGCTGACCCCCGCTCACCAACCATGACCCTCTAAAGGGTTATCTGTTTAGATTTCAGGTTGTTTAGATGTGACAAGGAAAAAACTCGGGGCAGCAGTTCAGGAGCGCCTCAGGAACACAAGGTATCTTTGACGCAGCAACCAACACTTGCAAACTTCTTGTCTGGGTCCCTAGGGCATATCACCATCGATTTCATTGGAATTAGGTTTTGATGACATAACTTAACATGATGTCAACTTAAAGCAAATACACGGTTACACGTAACGTACACCTGCGTATGTGAATTTTTCAACAAAACAAAAACACAACCAACCAACCAACCAACCAACCAACCCAACCCAACCCAACCCAACCCAACCCAACCCAACCCAACCCAACCGAACCCAACCCAACCCAACCCAACCAACAAACAAACAAACAAACAAACAACAACAACCAACAAGCAACAACCAACAACAACAACCACCACCACCACGACGACTACTACTACCACTACCACTACCACTACCACTACCACTACCACTACCACTACCACTACCACGACGACGACGACGACGACTACTACTACTCCCCTAGATCCTGAAGGAGCTGGATTCGATGCAGCCTCAAGGCATGGAGGAATCTAGGAGCGGCGCCTTGTCTGAGTGATCTTCTGTAGTTCCTGAGCGATCTTGGATCGCTGTTTCCCATGCTCCCGCTTGCGAGCGGAGAGTAGAAGCCACGCTGAGGAGTGGCAAATGCTCTTCAACAGCGCGTGGATCGTTGCGGACTGATATCGAATGCTTCCTGGAGCTGGCCGAGTTTCTGCACCAACAGCAACAACAACAACCAACAACCAAGAACAACAACCACAACAACAACCACAACAACAACCGCCACCACAACAACAACCAACAGCCAACAACCAACAACAACCAACAACAACAACAACCACAACAACAACCACAACCACAACCACCTCAACCGCAACAACCACAACCACCACCACCACCACAACAACAAGCACCACAACAACAAACAACAACAACAACAACAACAACAACAACAACAACAACCACAACCAATAACCAACAACCGCAACAACAACGACATCAACAACAACAACAACAACAACAACAACAACAAACAACAACAAACAACCAACAACAACAACAACAACAAAACAAAAAACAACAACAACAACAACAACAACAACAACAACAACAACAACAACAACAACAACAACAACAACAACAAGAACAAGAACAAGAACAAGAACAACAAGAACAACCAACAACCAACAACCACAACAACAACAACAGCAACAACCGC